TGTTACTTTCCTTGAAGTGTTTGATTTCTTCCTTTATCTCCTTGGTAATCCATTCATTGTTTAATAACATGCTATTTAGCCTCAACATGTTTGAATATTTTTGAGTTTTTTTTATAGTGGTTGATTTCTAGTTTCATGGCATTGTGATCCAAGAAGATACTTGATATGATTTCGGTCTTCTTATATTTGTAGAGACTTGCCGTGTGCCCTAACATGTGGTCTATTTTTGAGAATGTTCCATGTGCACTTGAGAAGAATGTGTATTCTGCTGCTTTGGGGTGAAATGTTCTGTAAATGTCAAATCCATTAGGTCTAGTGATTCATTTAAGGTCTGCGTTTCCCTGTTGATTTTTTGTCTTGATGATCTGTCCAATGCTGCAAGTGGGGTGTTAAAGTCCCCCATTATGATTGTATTGCTGTGGATCTCTCCTTTAAAGTCCCCCAAGAAATTTTTTATATATTTAGTTGCTCCTGTATTGGGTACATAAATGTTCATAAGGGTTATTTCCTCCTGTTGGATTGATCCCTTTAGTAATATGTAGTGACCATCTTTGTCTCTTGTTATGGTCTTTATTTTGAAGTCTGTTTTGTCAGAAATAAGAATTGCTACTTCAGCTTTCTTTTCCTTTCCATTTGCATGGAATATTTTACTCCATCCCTTCACTTTTAGCCTGTGTGAGTCTTTTTCTCTCAGGTGGGTCACTTGTAGACAGCATATATTTGGGACCTGTTTTCTTATCCATTCAGCTACCCTTTGTCTTTTGATTGGCCCATTTATTCTGTTTACATTTAAGGTTACTATTGTTATCAACTTATTTAATGCCAGTTTCCTCCTTTATGCTGATGTACCTTTCTCTCCCTATTCCTTCTTTTTCTTAAAGCAGTCCTTTTAGCATTTCTTGCAATGCTGGTTTAGTGGTACTGAACTCCTTTAGCCTTTTTTTGTCTGTGAAGCTCTTTTTTTCACCTTCAATTTTAATCTTGGTTGCATGTTCTTGCTTTTCATTACTTGCAGAACTTCACGTCACTCCCTTTAGTGGTACTGAACTCCTTTAGCCTTTTTTTGCCTGGGAAGCTCTTTTTTTCACCTTCAATTTTAATCTTGGTTGCATGTTCTTGCTTTTCATTACTTGCAGAACTTCACGTCACTCCCTTCTGGCCTGAAGAGCCTCTGTTGAGAAATCAGCAGTTAGCCTTATGGGGGTTCCCTTGTAGGTCACTGCTTGTCTCTCTCTTGCAGCCCTTAACATTTTCTCTTTGTCCTTGACATTTGCCATTTTAATTATGATGTGTCTCGAAGTGGGTCTCTTTGGGTCCCTCTTGTTTGGAACCCTCTGTGCTTCCTGAACTTGTGTGGCTTTCTCCCTCACCCTGTCTCTTATACANTCTAGGGAATTTTTTTATCATTATTTCCTCCACCAAGTTCTCTATCCCTTGCTCTCTTTCCTCCCCCTCTGGAACTCCTACAATGTGAATGTTGTTTCACCTCATGTTGTCCCAAAGCTCCCTTAGGCTGTCCTCATGCTTTTTGAGTGTTTTTTCTTTTTGTTGCTCTGATTGTGTGATTTTTTTCTACCTTGTCTTCTAAGTCACTTATTCTATCCTCTGCTTCATTGAGCCTGCTTTTAATTCCTTCCAGTGCATTCTTGATATCAGATACAGCATTCTTTATCTCTGTCTGAGTTGTATTTATGGTATGTATCTCTTTTTTCTTATTTTCACTAAGGTCCTCAATCTTATCATCTAGTATCTTCCTAAGTTCCTTGGACATCTTCATCATCCATACTCTGAATTCCATTTCTGATAACTTGCTTAACTCCATCTCATCAAAGTCTTTTTCTGGCAATGTTTCCTTTTCTTTAATTTGGGGGTTCTTTGTCTCCCCATTTTGTTAGGTCTTAGTGTTTGTATCTATATATTAGATATATTTGCTTTCCCCAAGTCTTGTGGAATGGGATTTTGTCTTGTGGGACCAGTGGAGCCCAAAGGTGTGTTTTCCTTACACCTCTGAGCTCTTTGTTCTAGGTGATTCCCTCTTGTGGGTGTCCCTCTTGTGGTGTGTTTTTGTTCTCCTGTTGTGGTTGGGTCTAGATTGTCGTTGATCAGTCCTTGGGAGGACTGTCCTCTCAGGTTTGCTAACTGTGTCTCACCTCCAACCTCATGATGTAAGCTGTTGTACAGGTGCTGGCAAGGCAGGACAATACACAACTAAACTTCCAGGAAAGAAGAGGTATCTTACAAAATATCTTTACAGTCACAATGAAAGCAACCCATGTGAAAATAGAACTGGGAGAGTGAAGGTAGAACACGCGTGCGCGCACACACACACACACACACACACACAAATGCTTAAAAAAAAGAGAGAAAGAAAAGTAATGCTTAGAGAGAGATGTATATTGTTGTTAATACTGGTGAAAATTTAGAAAATAATAATAAACTAAAATATAAAAAATAGAGAAGCTACTGGGAGATAACAGAAGCAGAGAAAAGATTCTGAAAGAAGGGCCAGCACAAAATTAAGGGAGAGAATAGGAATAGGATAATAGTTGAAAATGAGAAAACAAAAATACAATAAAGAGAATAAGAGAAACTAACAATNTTAAGGGAGAGAATAGGAATAGGATAATAGTTGAAAATGAGAAAACAAAAATACAGTAAAAAGAATAAGAGAAACTAATAATCAAACAGGAAGACAGAAGGGAGGATAATGAAAGAATGAGAGAAAAGTAGAAAAAGAAAAAAGAAAAAGAAAAATAAGTTATGCCAATGGATCGAGAGAAGATAGAGAGATATAGCCCAGGCAGGGAGAAAGTCCGGTAAGAGATTTGGTGGAAACTATAGAGGAAAGCAGTAAACTTCGTTATAATAATAAAGTCCCAGTCATTAAGCAGGGATATCAAGAAAGTCTTGATAACTGAAGCAAGGATAAAACAAAACAAAGCAAATAAAAATAACTAAACTAAAAACAAGCTAAGCAAGACAAAATTCTTTTATAAAAAAGAAAAATTTAGTTAAAAGTGTTTTTTAAAAAAATTAAGAAAAATTATTATAAATTTAAAAAAGAAGGAAAAACAAATAAATTTTCCCCCTTTCTCTTCTTCCTAAGGAAAAAAGAGAAAAAGCAAACAAGCAAACACAAAGAAACCACACAAAAAAAACAAAACCAAAACCAAACAAAATAAAAAAACAGAAGAAAAAAAGACAATCATGTGGGTTTCTTCTGGGCTGCTTATGTTTTCTGTGTTGTCTGTGCCTCGCTCTTTTGTATACTGATCTCAGTTCTCCTGGGAGGTACTTGTGTATCACCCAATGTGAGGAGCCAACTAGGTTTGACTCTCGTGTCCTTAGGTAGATGGTTGATCTGAGGCTCTCTGTGGATCATCTCCTCTTGTCAGCTGTTTTGCAACCTTGTAGTTGCCTGGTCTTGCTCCAGAGTCTTCTGTGGAGTCTTTAGGGTGCAGGGTGGCTAGTGTAGCTCAGGGTATCAGTCCCCTTACTTAGGGGTTTTGCTGTCAGGCGCTCACTGTGGGGAAGTTAGTCTCTGTTTTACAGCCAGCTCCTCAGTCCCTATCTTGTCCTCTGATTCTAGTTCCCCATGCTCTGTCCTGCTGCAGCTTCAGATTGATTTCAGCCTGTTGCCTTTTCTGTATGGGCTGTTTCAGCAGCCTGGGTTCAATGGGTTCGATTAAAAACACATTCTGGTGAGCCCTTTGCCTGCCCAGCCCCCAGCAGGGGTTTTCAGCATTTCCTACAGTTCCCAAACAACGGTCCCTGAGAATCTTATTCTTGTAGAGTCCTCCTGTGAGCTGCTCTCCCTTCCCCCTCAGGACTGTGCCCTTTGGGGATATCTGTGGCCTCAGTGAGTAGGCACAGTGCTCTCGGGCTGCAGGAGAGGCAGGCAGGCTCTGCCTCTTCCTTCCCAGCTCTGGTTGGCCAGTCACACCAGGCCCGCCCCTCAGACCGTCTACTGTGCAGACCCCAATCCTAGCCTCTGCTGGTCTGTCCTCACAGTGCATGCCCGGAAGGTGGTAGCCAGTTCCATGATCCGACTCAAAAACTCACAAAGCAACACACAAGCAGAGTCCACCCTGCAAGGTCCTGCACCCACATGCCAAGGCACCCAGCAGGAGGTGACCCAAAGTCACCTCCACGCAGCTCCCTGCACCACTGGCCTCAGCAAAGCTGGGGCAGCTTCACGCACCACGAAGGCACCCCTCAGGGCTGGTCGTAGATCCCAGCCTCTCGGCACCAGGAGCTCAGGGCAGGAGGGCTCCTCCCATTCCCCATGCCACACAGATTCAGTGCTTCTGGGGCTCAACACAACGCCTTACAGGGAGGCAGAGGGTCCCCATGTGCGGCCACTCTGCGCAGTCCTCTGGTCCCTTACTACTCAGGTGCCACACACTTTGGGACAGCCCTTCCTATGACCGGCACCCTGAGCAGGAGAGGCCTGTCACAACTTCCACTAGAAGCTTTGTTTTGCTGGGAAGGCGCCATCCACCATTAGAGGCTTTGTTCCCTAGGAAGGTGCTGTCCCCTCCTTGCAGACTCACCATTCCCCTGGGTCCCTTTGCGCGGGGTGCTCCTTCCCCTCTCGTCTGCTCCAGGTGTGAGATCCCCATTTTTGGAGGCTGGTCCGCACTCCCGAGAGGAGGGAGCTTTGCAGCCTCTAAGCCTCTGGTGTCGGAGCCCAGCACAGGCTTCAGGGGGGGCTCCCCCTCTCTATGCCCCCCCTTTCTTTTCAGACTCTGTGATGTTTCTTCACTGCTCCCCACTCGCACTCCATCCACTCAGGTATGTTTCTCTGTTTTTTCTTTTTTAAATATATCTTTATTGATTTCAGAGAGAGGAAAGGAGAGGGAGAGAGAGAGAGATAGAAACATCAATGATGAGAGAGTCATTGATCGAACCCGTAACCCAGGCATGTGCCCTGACCGGGAATCGAACCCCGATAACCTGGATCCTAGGTTGATGCTCAACCACTGAGCCACGCCCAGCCGGGCGTGTTTCTATTTTTTCTAAGCTGGCTACATAGGATTTTAGGAGTAAATCGAGTCTGTGGCTGGGAGCGGGGGTGCTCTTCTGCTTCTCACAGTGACGCCATCTTCCCCATCCTCGAGATCTACCCTCTTAATACATCTTTAAGTGTACAATACATTATTGTTAACTGCACCTATAATGTACAGCAGATCTCTAGAACTTATTTATCTGGCTTAGCTGAAACTTTATGCCAGTTGGTTATTAACTCCCCATTCTCCACTACCCCTAGCCTCTGACAATTTCTTTAAACAGTTAGGTTGATTTGACTGAAATTAGCATTAGTAAATAAAATACTTATTTAGATTTGTACTTGTTACATGTAACTAATTGTTTTTAAGTTATGAAAAGCAAGAAGAAAGGTACCTGAAACCAGAGACAACCTCTCTATATCTCCCTTTCTATTCCACATGTAAAGAGGTTTTTCCTTGGCCCAGTGTCACTCCCCAGCCACAATGAGCAGATGTAGCAAGGAGAGGGCTCCAGGCAGGGGAGGCAGAAGAGACTGACCATTTTGTTTCCCAAGTTCAGCACAGCTCCACGGGTTTGCTCATCAGAAACCAGAAACAAAGGCGTAGGCTTTTGCACTTTAACTCTAACTCTAGCATGTTGTAGATTTATTTTCTTGCTCAACAATTTCATTTTTAATGGCAATGACTTGATCTTCCAACTGTTTCAGTTGACCAGCTTTTTCTTGCTTACTTAGATTCAAATCTTGGATCTTTTCTAAATCTGAAAAAAGAAAATGAAGTGAATGATATATTTCCATTTGATAAATACCTCCTAAATGCCCATGTGATACCAAACACAGGGATTTATGTGTCTCATGAAGATATATTTAGTTTTGTATTTTCATTCATTAGATAAAACTTTTTCCCCCCCACCAGACTTCTCAAGGTTTTCATATAAGTCAGAGTAGACAAATTGATACTTTTGTCTAAAAGTATTTTATATCTAAAGGCATTTATCAATGTGAATCTATAGCTAGTTAGAATTTATTAGAAATGAAGACACAGATGACAGGCCTTGGACTGGATCTGGTGAAGTGCTATATTTCCAAAGGCTTGTTCTTTCTGTTTTAACTGTGTTTTTCACTTTAGGGTTTCCCAATCTTTCAGTAAAAAGGACTGACATTTTAACTTCATTATCCTCTGCTAACATGAAAGTCATTGAACAGTAAAAGCAAAGTGATGCCTTACTTGGCTTCCCTCCTATCCGTCTATCTGTCCATCTGTTCATCCATCCGTCCATTCATCCATTTATCCATTCTTCAACCAACAAGGAGTGGGGGAGATTAAAGATGGGGGCAGACTGAGTGGAAGCTACACTGACGCTCTCCTGGGATCAAACTGGAATTACAATTAAAATATAGAAAAAACATGCTAAATAATCAACTGCAACTGCAGGCAAGTTGGAGAGCACCCTCATAACCAAGGAGGAAAACTGGAGACCTCATAGAGACTGGTAGGAAGTGCGGAGACATGAGAGGTTTGGCTGATCTCCCACAGGCAGCAGCTAAAGGCCCAGAGGGATATCTCAGCTGTGGAGAGTTCCCACTAAGGACTCTACAGCCTAAACCCCAGGCTGGACTTCCCAGCCAAGAGCATGAGAACTGAGAAAGGTGCCCACATAACATTTGGCTATGAAAAGCAGCCAGGTTTCTGTCTGCCAGGGAGAGATGGCTGGAAGTGCAGGCACCCTCTTAAAGAACCAACACACAAAGTTTTGTGTGTAGCCACTCACCTTGGGCTACCAGCAGAGAGAAGGCAGCATGAACTGAGGCTATGTGAGGAGACTCTAGGGTTGTACACCCTGGAGATAGAGCTTAGAGGGCACCCCCCTGGATTCCTCTGTTGAGTCATTCCCCCGTACAACAGTGGACATCTTTCATAGTCAGACATTTACCTTCCAAGAAGTTTTTGCCTCAGGGAGAAGCAATAGCCTCACCCTGCTGGAAAACCTCTCATCTTACCTAGTGGAGTTTCTATAGGCTGAGGCTCATTAAGAGAATCATATTAATCAGCCTGTAGGCAGAGGCAGACAGAGTGCTTTGAGTCTTTGCCTGATCTGCTTCTAGGCTCAGGCCTTGGAAAAGCAGACTTTGATATGCATTTGGTCCTGTCCAAATGCACCCAGCCCCAACAGAAGGGACCTCAAGCCGTGGGTTGTTGATAGCTTCAAATAGGGTACTCAAGGCCAGTCACATACAATGTCTGACATTGTCTTGCACCAGAGACTTTCCAAAAAGACTGAGAATCCTAGCAGACTTACCTAATACATAGAAACAAACTGAAATAGGCAGCCAAGATGGGGAGACAAAAAAAAAGCTCCAAATGAAAGAACAAGAGAAATCTCCAGAAAAGGAGCTAAATGAAACAGAGATAAGCAATCTATCAGATATAGAGCTCAGAATACTGATTGTAAGGACACTCAACAGCATGAAAAAAGATGGAAAATATAAAAAATGACCAGTCAGAAATGAAGAGTGACATAGCAGAAATAAAGAATACATTGGAAGGAATAAACAGCAGATCAGAGGAAGCTGAGGATCAGATCAGTGAATCAGAAGACAGGGTAGAAAAAAATCACTCAATCAAAGATCCAAAAAGAAAAACAAATAACAGGAGGACAGTTTAAGGTAGCTATGGGACAACATGAAACGTAACAATATTCGCATCATAGGAGTGCCAGAAGAGATTGAAAGTAAGCAAGGGTTAGAGAACATGTTTGAAGAAATAATGGCAGAAAATTTTCCTAACATGGTCAAGGAAAATGTCACACAAGTTCAGGAGGCACAGAGAGTCCTAAGCAAGAAGAATCCAAACAGGCCCACGTCCAAGCATATCATTATTAAAATGTCAAAAATTCAAGACAAAGAGAGAATCTTAAAGGCAGCAAGAGAAAAACAATCTTTTATCTACAAAGTGGCTCTCATATGGTTGTCAGCTGACTTCTCATCAGGAATTCTACAGGCCAGAAGGGAATGGCATGAAATATTCAGGATAATGCAAAACAAGGATCTGAAACCAAGACTACTCTATCCAGCAAGGCTATCATTCAAAATAGATGGTGAAATAAAGAGCTTCCCAGACAAAAAAAGGCTAAAGGCCTGGCTGGGTGTGGATCAGTGGTTGAGTGTTGGCCTAGGATCCAGGAGATCACGGTTCGATTCCCTGTCAGGGCACATGCCTGGGGTGAGGGTTCCATCCCCAGTCATGGATGTGCAGGAGGTAGCCGATCAATGAGGACTCTCTCATCATTGATGTTTCTATCTCTCTCTCTCCCTCTCCCT